ACAAAAATGGCAAAACTTGATGATCCAGCCAATCTACAACTGCATACAATCTATAATTATAAGTATACATATGCACATATTACATTTTTGTATTTATACAACACACATGAAGTTGCATTGATAAAAAGCATAGTGAAGGTTTAGGAGACATTAATTAGATGAACACAAATACACAATCTCAGAGATTCACGACCAAAACCCAATGATAAGAAATACACCTTTTAAATGCTATCTGGAGAATTAAGGCTAAAGAGCTAAAAATCTTATTATTTTAGAATTCTCTTTCTTCCAAGAGCATTTACAATCAGTGCTGTTTCTGAATGGCTTTGTAACTCAGGTTCACAAAAATATTTAAAATAATCCATTTTAACAATAAAATTGAATGCACTCTGTTGTTAAAAGGCATCAGAAAATATCTTTCAAACAGCATTTTAAATGTTTTTCTTTCAAAATAGGTGCCATTTACGTATATTTTTATTGTTTTCCTAAATAAAATTTTGCAATGTTTCAAAAGGTATTCTGTGTGCGCAACAGTTTTATGAAAGAACAATATTTTCTCCAACATCTCCATCTGCTGGCTTAGAGAAAAAGTAGATTTTTATCTATTTCTTTAAAATTTAATATTTTATTATTTGTTTTTATGTAATTGAAATATAAAATTATTATTATTAAATAGATGAATAACTATTTGTCAAAGTTACCCATGAAATAGAAGATTTTAGCAAGAAATCCAATATTTAATATTTTAAATTCCAAAATCCTATGAGATCAAACAATCATGTTTACAGTCCATTTAGACAGTTTTATTTTAAACACGGTTTTGAAATGAGAACAGCATTAACATTTATTAATTTTATTTTTAGAATGCAATAGCATTTGGTGTTTTTTTCTAAAATCTGCTGTTGATTTTATTAACAATATAAACTATGTGATGTAAATACATATGCAATATCATATTTACTGTTTTCACAACAATTCTGAATTACTGCAATAAACTGCCTTTCTGTAAAAACTATTAGACCATCTTCACATCCTCATACTAAAGTTCTTAGAAAAGACCAGAGGCCAGTGCACAGGCCTGCAGCTCTTTGAAAACTATTCAAAAGGACATGGTGGAGAAAAGGTTAAAAAAAAAAAAAGAATTAATATAAGAAAAACATTCATTTATTCTCTGACAACTACGCAGCATTCAATAAATATGGGAGGGAGTGGGGAGAAAGAAATTCTTCAGGCCCATCACTGTGGTTTCAACTGTTGAACAACCATGCTCAAATACTAATCTCTTTTTTTCTCTAATTTTATGGTTTTCATATTCTCAAAATGAATGTTTTTGTTTGAACAGCCTTCAGGGAAAAAGATTGAAAACCTTAGAATTATCTGTATCTACAAAGAAAGGAAGGAGGAAGAGGGGAAATGGGGGAAGGAGAGGCAGGTGGGGGTGAGGGATGGGGACAGAGAGAGAGAGAAATTGGAATCTGTCTTTATTTCTTCAGGTACCCATGGAAACAAGTGGGAACAAATAGGTACTTGCATTATCCCGCTGTGACTGTGAAAGAGAAGGATGTGGGAGTTCAGTGCAGTGCACAGTCATTTTACCCACTTCAGAATATAATGACTTCATTTCATTTGCATAACCTTAACCCACTCAGTAGATCTTGCCGGATCCTTAAGTGGTTGTCAACCTCAGCAATTCCAAATAAGTTCCTCCATCTCAGAAATAAAATTAAATTAGCAAACTAAACTATTTTGTACTTTTAAATAATTCAAGTATAGAACACCACTTTCTTATTATGTAAACTTAATCCTGTGTAATTTTTATGGCTTAATTAGGAGAACAAACTACTTTCTGAACACTGATGACACATATTTTAATAATGGAGTTTTAGAGTAGACTTCCTTTGATTTCTGGGGGAAAAGAGAGAAAGTCATTTTGGTTTTAGCTATCACCACATTTGATGCTGCTGCTTCCATAGAGAAACATGGACTCCCCTGATTAATAAGGCAAGAAAATAAAGCTAAGCCCTGGAGAAAAACCTTGAGCAGGATTTAAATGATCAAGACTCATCTAGACACATTTGATATTAGAGATTTCCATTCATTTCTTCATTGCTGACTTTGTAGTTTTATATAAGCATCTTTTTTTTTCTGAAAAGAGTTAAACTATTTTTACATTTCTTTGTTGCCTTATGCAAAAAAAAAGGAAAAAAAAGGAATAAGAATACAAACATTTTACAATCTCCAGATTTTGAAATTCCTAAAAGAATAAAGACACTGAGCCACAAAAATAGTCAATGAATCAATGTCAACTCCAGAAAATTCTAGCCAATGAGCTCTTCTATAATAGTGCCACTTTAGCAATCAGTAAGATTACTTCTTATGACATGGATGTTGCAAATGCCATCATTCTGAAGTCCCATGAGGGAACCTTGAAAATGCATTCAGTTCCTCCCAGTTATTTGTTTTAGTACCCTAGAGTAATAATCCATGGAGGAGCAATTTGGGGATCTGGAGACACATACATTTTAATTTCAGCTTCATTTCCCGAGCAAATCAAAACAAAACAAATGTGTGCAAAATGAAGATGTCACTTTCATTTATTTTTCTCAGGACTGTACTCAAACAAATTGTGTGTAAATGAAATTCATGTCTTTTAGTACATAGATGTATCATTCTGTAGAAGCTCTTTGAGTTTATATATATATATATATATATATATATATATATATATTAATACATTTACATTTCATATTTTATTTCGATAAAATTTATATTAAAATTTTATTTTAAAATATTGAGACTGTAGACCTAAATTAGTTAACTAACTTAAACTAACCATAACCTTTAATTCTTACAAAGATCCAATACAGTGATCCAGCATTTGTTGGAGTCAAGGAATTTTGATTTTGTTCAGTGGACATACACCCATTATAGCTCCGCCAGGCCCTCTTGTTATTTTCACCAGTTGTTATTTTCACCTCTTGCTATTTCTCAATCATTTACCATTTTCAAAGAGTAAAGATTTTAGTTACTTTCACCTCATTTTAAAAACTACATCCTTCCAGTAAGCATAGTCTTGATGTAGGTTCATTACTTTTCAAAGCATTTTCACACTAGTATATAATGAAATACAGTTAGGTACTTAGCACAGTTGTATGTCAGTCATAATTCAGGGGGAGAAAAAACCTGGAAACTTAATTTCAAATCAAATGAGTAATCTAAATCTGTTAGGTAAATAGATCAAGTATAAAAGCCTTCAAAAACTAAACTATATGTGTGTGTGTGTGGTGGTGGTGGGGGGGGGGGGAGAAGAGAGAGAGAGATTTTCCAAGATAGCTTTGTATTTTTACGGAGGTTTTTTTGAAGCTGTAAATCCACTTTAAGAATCTGTCTCTCTATCTCCTTCCTTACCCCTCCTTCCCACGCCTCCTCCCCCAGGTTCTTTTCTCACTTGATCTCAACATTTGAAGAAAACTTGTAGCACTGAAACCTTCTTAAATAGGGTCTTTATAACAATTTATTCATAGGCATCTAATCTACTAGGAGTATCATAATGACCCTGCTCTAATGGCCAAAGAAAACTGTTTCATATCTTTAATCATTCGGTGACAGCGGTTTCAAAACGAGTTGATAATGTCCCTGATATGATAATCAAGCTAAGCCATGGAATACATGATTAAGACTTCATATGAGGATGTGGGATGGCACCAGTTGTTTGCCTACTGTGGGAAGAGAGCACTTGGGGGTTTTTTTTGTTTGTTTGTTTTTTGTTTTTGTTTTTTGTTTTTTTCTTTCTGTGGTAATTTTCCACTAGCTCCTTTCCACTGTAGCCAAGATGGGAGGTGCGCCATCTGCAAAGCCCCCTCTAAACTGTTCATGATGAAATACAAACTGCATACATCAGATCAGGGAGGAATCACCCAAGCCCATTCGGCAGGAAATGATGGCAGCTGCGGGGAAAGGGGCAGGAAGGCACAGTGGATCGCACAGCCCACGCGGGCGCGGGGGTTGGAGCTGTGGGCTCAGTTCTGGCCGCAGCGCCTCTCCATGCAGCCCTTTGGGGACCCAATTGCTTGGATTCCGTTACTTTGCAGCCTTGAGAGAGAGCTCCATCCCGCGTGTGATGGGGCTCCTATGGATAACCAACTGCCAAGACTAAAATGGCTGATCAGAGGGACTTCTCCAGATTTTCAAATTCAGCCGGTTCTAACTGCTTTCAGGAGGTCCTTTTCCAATCTTACTGCCCTTGCCGGCGCCGGGCTACCTGAGAACAAAGCGCACCGGGCCGGCGAGCTGCCCGCGGCCTCCCTGGCGGAATGGCCCCCATCCATGGAAAGCGGAGGCTGCACGGAGCGGCCAGAAAGGGACCCGCTCCCGCTCCCCGGGTGCCGGGCTGGGTAGCCCCTGGGCCTGCGCCAGCCTCTTTGCGCACCGCCCCGCGCCCCTCCGATGGGGCGTTATGTAACAGACCCGAGCCCAACTCCGGCTCCATCTCACAACGAGTCCTGCCGAGGGGGACAGCATGGGGCTCCCGGGGTCTGTAGAGGGAACCCCACCTGGCCTGGACATCTAAGCTCGGGCGGACCCCTTTGGGATCTACCCAAAGCCTCGAGGCGCGCCCTGGGGAACAACGTGTTCCCGGCGGGCAGGGTGCCACCAGGCGCGCAAGGTGGGGAAGGCAGAGGCAGGGAGGAGCAGTGGGTATCAGCTGGAAACCCCTGAACCTAAGGAAGTTCCCCCCCAACCCCGCAGCTCCAACGCCCACCCCACCTCCCCAGTGCGCACACTGTTCCATTCTTCTCGCTGCCCCTCCACACCCCCAGCCAGCGGGGGTCCCCGAGATGGCAACCACTGTCTTCTCCCCCCGCGCGGTCACACGCACGCGCGTGTGCAGCCACGCACACCCACACACCGACACACTGAAGCCGCACACACCGCCCCGCACTCACACCCGCCGGCCCTCGGCGCGCGGCGCCCGGAAGGCATGAATATTCATTACTTACACGCATTGGTGACTGCGAAGCTGTTTGCTACCTCCAGATTGTCGATGTGCGGCGTGAGCCGGAACTCCGAAGTGGAAAACTGAACCATCCCTACCCGAAAGGCACTGTATTCTTGATCTGCGCCCCTGGGAAAGAGCCCCCCTGCAAAGAACAAACACCAAGCGGGGGATCGTGTCAGTGCCCGGGAGGGAAAGCAGAGGAGCCCGCTGGAGCCCAACAGCCCTCCAGGAGTCTCTCATTCACGCTAATAAGCGGAATAACGGAATAAGCACACGAAGGGGCTCCGGTAGCTGGGGGTCAGACATCCAAATAGTAACCAAGGGGTCAAGGCACAGCGTCGGAGGGCAAGGCAGGTGGCCAGAAACATTTGCCTTTCCTCCTCATCACAAGCTTTGCATTCAGACCCCTAGAGAATCTGAGCAAACGGGGAAGATGTTAAGGCGGAATGAATAAAACCTGGAGGGCAGAAACAAGATTCCCCCCACCCCCACCCCCTCTATTGTATCAAGACATCCTCTTTTCCCTTTGCTTCACCCTACGAGAAAAAAAACATGTATATTCTAGGCAGTTTAAATCTGGAATGCAGTCAAGGGATGACATAAGTCTACATGACATGAATTAATCCGTCCACGGTGAACAAAGATTACTCCCAAATTATGCACAATTCAAAAAAAAAAAAAAAAAAGCAGAGCACAAAGGATACCTACCTATCTGTATGCTGTTAGAAGAGACACCAAAAATCAGTCCCCATAAAACAGGAGAGAGGAGGACAGATATATGCATAATCTTTTGCATTTCCAAGAAAAGTAGAGCATCCACAAGATAGCTCCCTGGTTCCCCCTTTTCCTCCTCTTCCTTCGGCCGTTCTCCTCCGCAAAATTAGATACTCCGCATGTTGGAAACAGCAAATTTAGCACCAGGCTGCTACAACCCTGAAGGGGAGGCAGAAGAATTCCTATTTTCCCAGCTCCTGCTGCTGGTGGTGGCTGCTGATGCCCTGCGCCCTGTCCCAGCTCCTCAAGTCCAGAGGACTGGCTGGATGCAGCTTTCAGGGGAGCTGCCGCCGTGGTCCCAGTGCCTTGGAATATTCAGCACCCTCCCATGCACTCACACACACTCACCCTCTCTCTCCGCTCTCTTCTCCCTTCTCTCTCTCTCTCTCTCTCTCTCTCTCTCTCCCTCTCTCTCTCTCTCCCCTCTCTCTCACGCGCGCGCGCTCGCGCACACACACACACACACACAGCAGACACACACACACAGGCACACACGCGCGCACACACACACGCAAGAGAGGAGCAGGCAGTCCCGGACGCGCGTGCGCGAGGGCTCGCAGCAGGCTGCCGGCGCGCGCCCACCTCCCCCTCCCCCGCCCGGACACCCGCACCCGGCACAGCCCGTGCGCGGCGCGGAGAGCGCGCGGCTCAGAGCCCCGGCGGCAGCGGGTTTCCCTCGGCGAGACCTCGGGTCTCGCGAGCTGTCGCGCCCACCGCTCGCTCCTGCCTTTCAGCACCGAGGACAGCGCTCCGCTCCCGGCCCGGCGGCGCTACCTTTGTGTCTGTCGCCTGTGCGGCTGCCACCACCGGAGATGCTCCAGCCTGGACCCAAGGCAGCGACGGCTGATTTCCGGCTGCTGTGTGTGCAGAAGGAGCCGAGCTGCTGCTAATTGTTGTTGGCGGGGAAGCGGTCTGTCACCAGGCCCAGCTGTGTTGGGTTAAAAAGTAATTCTGACGCTTCATTTGGAGAACCTGTGAAACCCACTTAGCAATGTGTCCGAAACGCTGCCATGCGCTTCACCTGATCCAACCAAAACGCAAATACGCAAACAAAAGTCCCATTGGAGAAGTGTTCCACGACTGTGAACTTTAGCTAAAGATGACATAGCCGTAATCCGGAGGGGGAAGAAAAAAAAAAAAACAACACCCACATTCTATGTACAGAGATTGAATCTTTTGAAATCCCTTCGCATGGGAATCTAACCTTTTAGCTTGTGTTCCACTGGGCTGTGATGCCAACGTGCTGAGACAGCTGGGTGAGGGGAGCTCTCAACAGCCTTCACTGAAGACTCTCACCTGTGGTAGAAACAGGCAGACTTGGTTCCATGAAAGCCCCTTTTAAATTACGGGTTGAAAACAGAAGACCTTCCCTTCCTTTCAAGAAGGAAAGGCTCCTGGGGGTCGGGGGGTGAGGGGGAATCAGAAACTGAAGCACGTCTAGAAAGGGCTCTGAGCTGCCCACCCTTTCCCAGACGCAAAGAAACCGAATGCTCCAGCGCATTTTAGCTGTGAGTTCGGAAACATCACTGCCCACAGAAAGCCAGCTGTTATCATTCAGAACCCAGGAGCTCCAGACTTCTGGGAAGGGTGTGTGTGTGGGGGGGGGGGGGAATGAAGTTAGGAATTAAACATGTGTGGGAGAGGAGTTAGTGAGGAGGATTGAAGAATGGTCTTTCCCAAGTGGAATTTGAGCATTTCATGTGAAATTGCTTGCCAAACCCATGCTGGGAACCTGCTCCTGCAATTCCCTCTGCTGCCCCAGAAATGTGTCATTAAAGTAAATGGCTTCTGTGGCTTAAAGAAATAAAGGAAGATTAAGTATAAGGGATGGTTTCCAGGAGGCAGGAAATCAGAAAGGACAATAATAAAGGGATAACTTGCTAATATTTCGGAATGTGAAGAAACTCAGTCGGTCCCACAGCCTTCCAATGCAATAGTCAGATGACTATCATTCCTTCAGCCTTGTGTTGACTGTATTATTGAATACCTGCTGCTCATTCATTCTGAGTCTCAATTTTCCCATTTTGAAAATGTGATTTGAAGATATGATTTTCCCTGTTTTTGTTTTTGATATGTATTCCTCAAGCAGGAATATTTATAATTTATTACTAAGCTTATAGCCTACAAGTAAAAAAACAACAAAACAAAAAACCTCCCAATATTATCCCCAACAAATTATTTTAGTCTGTCAATAAACACTTCACTGTATATGAATGGATTCTGTGAATTAAAGTGCATTTAGCCTTTTAAAATTAAGTAAGAATAAAAATAGTAAGAGAGATAATATTTATCCAATTTGAAAGAAAAATTGAATAAATCTTACCTACTCAATCTGTAATTGAGATGTAAGGCATAACAATGATATGAACTGATTACCTATAATTTCTCTCATATATATTCATCTATATATGAATGAATGACAGCTCAGAGCAAAATAAAACTTTTTCAGATATTTCCTGTTTTTCTCTTTTAATTTTTTTTTATAAAAGAACTTTTGATTTTATACAAAATATCTTGAAATGAAATAAATGAGAGAAAAAAAGAGATAGGAGCTTAGATGTGAAGGAACAGTGATGTTTAAAGTGTAGTTCAATGTAAATTACTTTTTTAAAAAGACATTTCAAAAACTATTTCAAAGTCTAGGGCAACAATGAACTCAAAATTGCTTGAATTACATTCTATAGAAACAAATAGTATAAAATAAGATTTTGCTGAATCATAGAGCATTTTTCTGGTAAATCATATGTAAGAAATCGAGGTAAACATTACTGTTTACTGACCAATTATAATTTATATATAAAACAAAAATTTTAGAAGGCATTGCTTGTAAATCAACTACTATTAATGCTTCTTTCACATGGTAGTTTTGTATGTACTTTTCACAATATATCTAGATATATTTCCTGTAATACAGCATAATTATTTTAATATTATAATTCACATAACTTTTTCAAATTCACTATTATATTTATATGACTTATATTTTCAAACATAAAATACTGTCAATATAAATGTAATAAATTTAAATTGACTGAAATAATGGTCATGAAAATAAATGTTAAATGCTGTCATTTATTTTGAATGTTTAGAAACTTTTTGTTTCAAGAATATATGTGAAATTGGTCGTCAATAAAATCCATTTTGAAAATTTCCAAGCCACTAGTACTGTTAAATACAGTGTGTATCAAGGAACAGTTTGCAACTTTCTGCCCTCTGCTGTTCAATTTTGGTAATTATCTAAAATATAAGTATTGTTTCTGAAGCAAGGTGTAAATTACATTTAAAACAAGGAGCAATTAAAATATTATACACCCTATTGTTTGTTTGATTGGCTTGCTTTTGTTACCGTTGTTGGGTTTTGTGTGTGTTAAAATATAATTTTAGCATTAAAGCTACTAATAAATAATATATGTAAAATTTCAATTCCTGTTTTACTCAATCTTTGTTTCAATATAGGAAACAATAACTTTTACTTTAAACCTGCTTTAAAATGTTTGAGGATTTTATATATGTTTATTCATTCTGCACATTTTTAATTTGTGTTCTATGATGAGAAAGCTGTGCATAAAGGAATGTCATTGTGTGGGTCTGGGAACGGTAATTTTGAAATAACTGGAAGAGCAAATTCTGGCTGATTTCATTTTCAAAATTGGATTATAAAAGTGTGTACAATAGTTCCTAATGATGGAGTCTCACCAAAGCGAGATCGTCACTTCTCTTCCTATTGATCCTCTGGAACTGTGAGAATGTAGGCCATCTGAAAGGCTTGGATACATAATTAGCAGTTCCTACAGAAGGAACCCAGGTTCCCCAATGGAAACCCTATTGGCTAAGAAAGAGAACATTTTAAAAATAGAAGAGAAAGCTGAGACTTTTCAGGGCTATAAATAGAAATATTCATTCTGGGAAATTTTAGTGCTTTAATTAAGATAAAGAATAATATCAATGTAAATAGTTATTCGGATTGAGGCAATATTATTTTTTGTGCAATAAAAATTTAAATCACTGACTCAGTAAGATCAATTGCATGACCCAAACATATTATATATATATATATACACACACACACACACACACACACATACACACACACTAGTAGGCTTTTGCATGATATCGCTTGCAGTAGACCGCCCATCGCTTCCACAGGGGATGGGCCCACTGTCTCCTCTCTGAGCCTGTGCTCGGCTGTAGAGGCTGCAGGCTGGCCCCCTTGCCCCCCCCCCCCCCCCCCCCGAAGTCCACCGAAGTCGGGGCATTGCCATGGCGACGAAGCAAGCATTCCACCAGACCACTTATGCTGCCTGCTCTCAGTGGCAGTCCCCCCAGGACTGGGGGACTCCAGGGAGCCTGAGGGGACTGGGTGCCGCCATCTTTGTGACAGAGTGATAGTTAATTTTCATATTACCTTTTTATTAGATAGGATATATATATATAGATAAAAATTTTCAATTTTGATCTTTAGGGGTTTTGATTATATGAATTTTAATTAATTTTATCCTAAAAAATAGCAATCTTATACCAGAAATATTTATTAGAAAATATTTGATTTAAATTAATTAATTCAAAAAACTATTAGGGATTACTATATTATAAGTAATGTACTTAATACAGTGGATAATATGATGGATGTAATGGAAGCTTTCCTCATGAAGTTCCTAAACCTCATTCAAGTAAACAAACAATTAAGACCATGTGAGAAGGCAATCAGAATTAAAACAGTCACGTGATTAAGATAATAGGATGAGGAGAAGAAAAATCCATTATCTTGGAGCTCAGGAAGAGTCACCAGAGGATGATACCTGAAATTAGTCAAGTAGAGGCTACCTTGGTGAAGAATTGGGATGCAACTAGTGAGAAGACTTCATTTTTAAATTTGATTTTTCAGTTTTATTGTAGTTTAATTGATAAATAAAACAGTAAGCTATTTAAACTGTACAGTGTTATTTACTTTACTATGTGCACATAGTACATTGTGAAAGGATAACCTCTTTCCAGTTAACTAAAACAGTTAGCCTATTTTCTTTACTTGTGAGAACATTTAATTTCTACCTTTAGGAAATTTTAATTACACAGTAGTGTTACCAACTATAGTCACCGTGTTTTATGTACTTGATATTCAGACTTTAATTCATCTTATAACTGAAAGTTTGTACTCCTGTGCCAATCTCCCTATTTCTCCCATTTTCCAGCTCCTGGCAACCACTTTCTCACTCTATTTCTATGAGTTTGATTTTTTCTTTTCCCACAGCTAAGTGATATTATGCAGTATTTGTCTTTCTCTGGCCTATTTCACTTAGCATGATGCCCTCCAGATTCATCCATATTGAGAAAGAATAATATTTTGTTGCATGTATATACTATATTTTTGTGATCCATTCATTCATTGACAGTGTTACTCTTAGGTTGTTT